GCCTCACTGTTAAGGTGTCTAGTGAGGAGGGGAGAGAAAGAGAGAGCAAAGAAGCCATCTGAGGGAAGAGGATTCCAGGCAGAGGGAACAGCAAGCGCAAAGTCCCAGAGGCAGGATCATAGTCATATTGTTTTATGAGCAGCAAGAAGACCTGTGAAAGAGATGAGGTCAGCAATGCAGAGAGTGGGGGGCAGGCAGAACACACCGAGTCTTTAGACCAGTTTAAAGACTTTGGCTTTGGGCGCCTGGGTAGCTCAGTCAGTTAAGCATCTTCCTTCAGCTCAGGTCGTGATCCCGAGGTCCTGGGATCAAGCCCTGCATCGGACTCCCTGCCCAGCGGGGAGTCTGCTTCTCCCTCTCCCTCTGCCCCTCCCCCTGCTTGTGTTCTCTCTCTCTCTCTCTGTCAAGTAAATAAATAAATAATCTTAAAAAAATACTTTGGCTTTTACTCTGAGTGCAAATGGGACACCAGTGGAGGGTTTTTGGGTGGAGGAGTAACATGATTCAACTGATGCATTACGGGGATCTCTCCCGCTACTCTGTAGAGAATAGACTGAAGGAAACTGTGGGGGTAGGGGCAGGCGATGAGGGTGGAAGCAGGAAGCCCTGTTAGGAAATACTTGCAATAATCCAGTCAGGGTTGAAGGTGGCTTGGGCCAGCATGAAGGCTATGGAATTGGTGAAAGTGTTGAGATTCTGGATATAGTAATTTGAAAGTAGAGCTGACAGGGCTGACTGCTGGATCAACTTGTCACAGAATATAAAACGTTCTGTACATTGGTGTATTGTCGCAATGAACACTCCTGACAAGCGTGAGAAGCAGGTGTTGCATTTACTTCATAAGAGGGAGAATTGGTGATCTGAGGCCTTAAAGCAGGTATGAAGCCTAACAGCCTCAGCAGGGCAGAGGTGTGGTCTTGAGCCCCATGTTGTTATTCCCAGCTGCCTCCTCCCAGAGGAGCCTCTCTCCCCAAGAGTTCTTTTAAGGCCCCTTTATCCTGATACAACATCTATTTAAGGGCAGAACAAACATCTTAGTTCAATTCATAGTGCCTTCCTATTACATCTCCATTCTCTTATGCCATCGAATTTCCCAGATTTCTCACACAATGTCTTCATGGTGTCCTGAGTGAAAAATTCACCAGCTTCCTCTTCATTTGGTGATAGGTAATTTCTGGCTTCATCTTGGCTGGACTCCCTACCTCTCTACCACTGCCCCATATACCTGTACTAAACACACACACACACAAATACACACACAAATTGAGTAGTCATAAAATCACCTTGACTTTATTAAATGTAGTTTCCAGGTTAACATAACAACTCCAGTGTGTATTTTCTAACTGGAAAGGATAAAGAGAGCAAAATATAGCAATGGACCCATACAGAAAGTATCAATTAGTCCTCTTGCAAACTAGTTATTAAATCTCAGATATCACAAGGATGTCCTTTTTTGGCTTTGGCTTTGTCTGCTCAGTATAAAATAACTTGTTTTGTGTTTTTTTTTAAACATTCTGGAATAGAACTGGTAGGGGAAAATGGTGTGAGGGGGATATGGAGTCAGGGAGATTTTTAAGCAGGCAAGTTACTTCTTTGAACATAATTAGAGTCTACACAGCATGATGTTGATTTTTCTCCTCATTCTCATGGTTGAGGAATAAATGAAAATTAACAGCATCTTTACTGAGGTGAAACATAAAGTGATTCCAGCTTAGTACCTTATAAAATCAAGTTAATTTCCATCCCTGTGATAAATAATCCCTCAAAGGCCTGTCAGTGAAAACTCAGATACATCTTTGGCAATTTTGTTCACTTTAGGTCCTGGATGGTGTTTTTTATAAAGGCAAGCACAGTGTGGGAGGGGTAATTGGTTAGACTCTAGACAACCTTTCGGCTCTCTCTGGTGTATCTGTGAAGAGAGTCACAGAAAGCTACTCACATCCTGGATTTTGGCATGCATGATGCCTTTCTTCCTGAGTCATCAGGGCACCAATATGAGGCCATTTGGCTGGATTGACTTCATCAGGAATTAGGCTATAATGTATATTAGTATTCTTACCTCCATGGAGAATATGATTAGTACTCATGGGTACAACTCTCCATTCTTTCATTCTCTCTTCTGTAAAATGAGTCTGAAGGATTGGCTTGAAGTTACAGAGAAGAATGATTATGCACAGGCTTCCAAATCATCCAGCTCTCTACTTGTTCCTAAAAACAGTCAAATTAATTCTGTTACTTCAGTACTCTGTTTCTGTCGGCCTTGACACAATAAGTCACTTCTGAGAAATGGCAAGTCCTATGTCAGGATCCATCAGTGAAATGATTTTCCAACCTCAGTGGTTCCATGATAATGATTTTATAAGGACGATGAATGTGTGGCCTTCTGGTAGACAGGCAGCAAAGTACTCATCTCCAAATGTATAAAACAAATAGATTGAGGGTGTGGTCAGTCAATTATTGAATAAGAAGGAACTGTTCCTTATTCCATAGCAATTAATTGCTATAGATTCCATTCAATCATTTCTCTGTGGGAAATAGTCTTATGAAATGTAAACATTCCTGAGAAGGTAACATGTTAGGTTATTATCGACCACAGTAATTATGGTAGATTAAATTACTCTTCAAAATACTTGCAGGCTGGGCGTGGCATATGACTTGCTTGGGACTCAAGGTGGGCAGGTTGTAATTCCCTGCCCTTTGGGAATCAGAGCATGGTTTGATTCCCTGCCCTTTGGGCTAAGTGTGTGCCTTGCTTTGGCCAAAGGCATATTAGCAAACTGGATTGCATCATTGGCGTTGATCTCTTACATTTCTGCTATTGCTGTACTTCCCTTAGGATGCTTCTCTCCCCTCAACCTGGGCCCTAGGATGGCATACATGGAGAAGACAAGAGCTCAAACAGCAGTGAAGTCTGGTCTAAGCCAGCCAATCCTTAGCTGACCTGTATACATGTATCTCTTATTTTAAGTTCATATGTTTCTGGGTGGTTTGCGATGCAGTAACAGCTGAATAGCAATAACAATTTATTAATTGGACACTTAGTAGTTAAAGGTGCTAAATATACATTATCTCTGAAACAGTTGGTTTCATGTTAGATTAGGACAGTAAGTTTAGGATAGACTTCTAAATCCAATTGTACAATGATGTAAAAATGGATACACTGGAGTATCTATGGGGGGACATCTCCTTGCTTTCCTAAAAGAAAGGGGAAATCTAGAATATTCTATTTTATTTTCCCCCTGAGAGTGACTTAACAACTGTGGCAGTATGATACAATATGAGAATGGAATATGATAGTTTAAAAAGAAATAAAGAAGAATGAAAAAAATGTTTTAGTATCTACTTGTGACTTTTTAAGGATAGAAGATACATAGTATGATACAGTCATGTGCCAGGTTTCTATTTGGATTTACTCATTTATTTCATCCTCATAGCAATGAACTTAGGGGGTTGACACTATTATTATCCCCATTTTACAGCTGAAGAAACTGAGACATAGGAGTTTAAGGAAACTGTCATCCTCACCCAACTAAGAAATGGAAGCACCAGGACTAAAACCAAGGCAGACTGACTCCAGAGTCCATGTTGTAGCAAACCATGAATTAACCAAATCCTAAGGAACAGTACTACTGAAATTTGTAAGAAATATACAGCATTCCTGGGGCGCCTGGGTGGCTCAGTTGGTTGAGTGTCTGACTTCGGCTCAGATCATGATTTCGGGGTCCTGGGATGGAGCGCGAGTGGGGTTGAGTCGGGCTCTGTGCTCAGCGGGGAGCCTGCTTCTCACTCTACCTTACCCTTTGCCCCTCCCCCCACTCGTGCTCGCTCTCTCTTTCTCAAATAAATAAAAAAAATCTTAAAAAGAAAAAGAAATATCCAGCATCCCCTAAGGGAACAAGGAACTCTCATCCCTTGATCCTTCATACATGTGAACTCCGCTGAATGGGGTGCCTTTCCCTCTTTGCCCAGCACATTCCTTAAGACTCACCCTAGATGCACTACCTCCAGAAAGCCTCCTTGGTCTCCCTAGTCTGGATTAGGTGTCTTTCTTCTATGTTTTGGTTCTCCTTGTGCTTATGTCATTCACCTTCAACACCGTGTTGTTACAGTTGATTTGCTGTGTTGCTTCCTCAGAATATGAACATCTGGAGAGCAGGAATTATGTCTTTGTGCTAGTTACACAGAAGGTTCTTAATAAAGGCCAGTTGTGAGTTGTATGAGATAATACACTTATGGGTACAATAAGTGATCGGTATTTGGAAAGATTCCTTATTATCTTTCCAACTTGATTTTGTAACACTCTGCATCATCTAATAAGCTTCTTTCAAGCTGGTCTTCCAGTCTGAGAGCCCTCAGAGCTCTGGTCTCCCTCCAGGCCTTTTACATGGTAGCGTCCCTGCCAGGAGTGCTCCTCAGCCCTGCTCTTCCTATAGCTGGCTTCTTCACCTCTCGCAGCCCCCAGTAGCCTTGTCTGACTTCTTAAATCATCAACTCTACCTTGTTATCCCCTTTCAGTGCAGCCCCATGTGTTTCTTGCATATTGTATTGGGAGAGTCCATCAAGATACTAATTTGTGTTTTCTTTTTGTTGGTATAGAGGAATCAAAATACTGAGAGCTATTGTGTTTTGTTTTCTTTATTTTTCTCTCCCAGGTCTCAGAAGGCCTATTTTTAAAGAGGAGATTGTACTGGGTACTCCAGAAGGGAGAGAAGAAAGGCTAATGCCTGTGAGGTTGAGGGCCCGAGGTCGGAAGAAAACATTTCCAAACCCAGGGAAGGGACACAGGAGTGTGAATCCACAGGCAGTGGTTCCTTTCCAGTTTCCTGGCAGAATTTCACAGAAGGTTCAGAGTTCTGCTGAGCAGGATCCTGTTGTGTCTCTAGGAATGTTGGTCCCTTGGAACTAGACTCGTTACCTTAGCTAAGAGTTCTGAGTTCAAATGTAGCATGCGGCAACAGGCTGCCTGCCCTTTCAGGGCCATGTGGGCTCAGTCACTTCAACAATCCAACCCCCACCATGCTGGCCTGAAGACTGAAGGAGGAGGAGGTGGCCCCTAAAATGACTGAGATTGAATTTCCCACCAGCTCAATGTGTTGGGGACTCAGAGGTAGGTTTAAATTTGTTTGAAGAGAACAGATTAATCTGACAGTTCAGGCTTACTTGACTATAATTCATACCTGCTACAAAAGCACTTATCACAATTTGCAATTATATATTAGGCTTTTTTCACTTGTTCATTGTTTGTCTTACAGATTCTAAGTTCGATGAGGGCAAGAAGGCACTCAAGGAATTTTTCTCAAATCAAATTCAAATTAATGAGTTTTGCACATGATATGGTAAAGACTGTTCACTTAACTCACTAGTGAAGCATACTTACCAGAGTGCAAGGTGGTAAACAGCATCAGGAAAAAAATAATCACAGAAAGGTCGAGAAGCTTTTTCCACTTCTTATTCCTATTTATCAGCAGCAGAAATTTAACTGAGAAAAATACTGCCAAATAACCTCTTCCAAAAGATTTCTTAAATATATAAGAGTCCTTGCGTTAGGTGATCTGTTGAAAATGAACAAGGGCATGGGGAGACGGGTGGTTGTAAGGGTAAAGAGGACAAGTACATGCGACAGGAAGGAAAGAGAAAAGGGCAGAGGGGGAAAAGGGCACACTAAGGGAAGGAGACTCAGTAAAGGCCTGGGGATGATTCCTGAGAAGTTGGTCAAGAACATTCTATAAGAACTGAGTGAGTGGACTTAGGGGAAAAATCACCATGAAAAGCATGCTCAAGTGATCAGGAGTCCTGTGGTGGCAGAGTCCTTGCCCATCTTCCTCAGGAGAGATGGTCCATCATCTACATCTAGACCTGTACCAGTTAGTTCCCTCCTCAGCATGCTGCACTAGAACCTCACCACAGCCTGGCCAGTGGGACCCTGAAACAATAACAAGACTTGGGTGCATCCCTTTTTTAATAATTCTAATCAAAATATTTTTATTGATTCAAACAATATACATGCAGATATTAAAATATGAGATGGTTTGATGGCAAATTTCAAGATAATTGAATTGAAGTTGAATGTCTCTTTCTCCTTCTACTCCTGCCATGTGCCCTTCCTTTGCTTGCGCCTTTCGTGTATAGTTAATCTTCTTGTTAGAGAGCCTGACCTCCCAAACACACATTATACAGTGGGACACCCATAAGTCCAAAGGAGAGAACCAGAAAACCCAGTGGGTATGAGTAAGGAAGAGCCATACCTGTAGTTTGGGGTCCCTGAACTAAACACATCTTAGATGCCTGAGCTGGTTCCACAAGTAATTACAAACAAGGGAAATACATGGTATTTTGAAGCATACAACGGGAGTTCCTAATCTTTTTGGGGATAGGGAGGGATTAAGGAAAACTTCCCCGAGGAAGCAACATTTTAGCTCCAGCCATGAAGATGAACTGGAAATGGTTAGAAGCAGGATGGAAATGTGAATGGAATTTTCTTTCGGAGCTGTTCTGGGGATGTGAGATCTCAGTTTTTGTCTTTATGCACCTATCTAGACCTTACTGTATACCATAATCTATATGAAGGGTTGATTATACAAAGGTAAAGAATGAGGTCTTCCACTCTCATAAAAAATTGTGCATAAAGTACAGAACTTATATTGCTCAGTTAGGGGATGCAGGGGACTATTTGGGTTGTTTATTTGTGTTCACTTTTCCTGAATTTGTCAATTGGTCTTACTATCACTTGCCTGGTTGTTCTATTCTTTACAAATCATTACAGCATTGAAGCATTCAAGTGCTAAGATTCTACCATGAGTACAGTGAGTTTGAGCTATATCTCTAATGGTGAAGATGGCTTTGTGCAGAGTGGCCTTAAAACCAGCCATTATCCTTGGATGCTCTGCATTTGGCCACAATGGACCACAGAAGAGAGGGTGTTGATGGAGCACCGTAAGAAAGTACAAGTCATCCATCTTTGATTTCCCTATAATGGTCCTGCAAAATGCTCTTCTGCCCCAAAGAAAACTTTAACTAGTCACAAGAGAGTGCTGGTTATGGGAAGGAAAATTACCTTTCCCCCATGCTTTAGCAGTAAAAGTAAGGATAAGAATCAGGGTTTGAGACAAAGGCTGTTATTCACTGGCTCTCTTTTTTAGTTATTGTTTTGATGGTGGTGAGCTTTGGAGTCAGGACAGAATGGAGATGTTGGGAGAGGAAGGGCATCTTTCAAAATTTACAAATTACTAATTAAAATGAAATGGCCTTTTGGCACTCTCTGAAGTGGGTTATTGTAAGAGAAAAAAATCACTTGTTTTCCTTTTGCTTTTGGCATTATAAATGAATATCCCCTTAGGAAAATTGTATGTGGAGACTCAGAGGATTCATTGCTCTATTCATTAAGTGTGACAGGAATGAAAATGATTTTATGAAAACAAGGCTGTATGAGTTGGATTATATTTTTTATTGCTTATAATCTAAATTTTTTCCAATGCCATCATAGCGGTATCTGTTGACAAATATTTAGTAAGCTCTCAGTGTGTTTTCTCCAGAAAGTAACTGGATGAGGGTGAGAGAAAAGGAGGTTAGGTTAGAATAAAGACATAGAACCAACAGAACTCTGGTATCAACCCAGCCTGTTTTTATTCTAACTGGAAATCACATGTCAATGCCTTTTTTCAGGATCTGGCATTTACCATAAAGGAGACATTTAATCTAAAAAAGGCCAGAAAGACCAAAAAATATATAGAGAAGGACTATAAAGATAAGATATATATATATATATATTTATGTTTCCAGGCAATAGATAGATACCATGATCATATATGAATAATGACAGAAAGACGGACTTCCCAGTACTGGTTAGCAAATTCACTTTTTGACTCTAGATATTTTGGGTAAGGTTTTCACTTATAAATAAACATGTATGAACAACTACCCATGACAAAAACACCAAGGAATAAAAAACAGTTAACAGTTGTTGATATTAGAGTTAATAATTTGGCATTGTAATTCATACTGGATAATAAAACTACAGACAATGTTAAGTTCTGGTCAGTTGCTAAGTGGTTAGATCTTTAAAACCAATTTGGAAAAGGAAGACATGGAGCTATTGAACAGAGCTTTGGAAAACCATTCTTTAAGGATATTATTTCCCATGACCATACCTCTAGTTTCCAGAGTGCAAACTTAGTTTATGCCTACTGTCCCGCGTAAATATTAATGAATCCCTTTAACTCTAAAAGGTATACCAATTGGATAAAAAAAATTCTATCTACCCATGGGTCATCATGACTATCATGAAGTGGCTTCAGTTTGAGGAAGATGAACCATTTTGAATTCCAACTGAGTGTATTTATTGAGCAACCACTATAGACTCAGCAATGATAATAATAATAATGATAGCAGTAATCTTAGCAGGGAATGATTACCACGTTCTGGGTAATATACTGGGCACTTTACATGCATTAGCTCTTAAGTTTTGCAATAATCTTATGGAGTAAGTACTCTTATCACCATTATATTGATTAAAAAAAAAAGAAATAGAAGCACCGAGTAATAACTTTCCCAAGGTCATACAGATAGTACGTATTGAATCCAATATTCAACATTTTTATTCCAAGCCCTATTTCCTTAACCATTTTTTTAATCAAGAAGCTTCCTAATTAGTTAAGTAATTAGGTTAGAGAGTATAGCATAAACACATGAAATAGATAACATGGAATAATTAATAAGATAAAATGTATTGTATTGCCTAGTTCCCAGGGGCTCGTCCATCTGTGGAACACAGAGTTATTGCAAGGAGTTTTTAAAAAGTTATATAAAGCATAAAACATTATTTATAAATTGAATAAATAATATGCTTCATGTCTCTGCTATACTTTTATGATTGATAAATTATACCTTAAATTAAAAGCAGTACAGAATTCCAAGTAGTTTCTTTTGTCAATTCAAAGATATTTTTCTTAAAACCCTACTACTTTCAAGTTTTATGTGACCAGGGTATGGAGGATACCAGCAAATCAATAAAAGCTGGATAAACAAATTGCCTAACAACAACAAGCTCCCTATATGGAGAAAGTGAGTGTGACTACTTGATAGTTGTATTGGGAGATGAAATGTGGTGATGTGTGTGTCTGGAACAGCATCAGGCACGTAGTAGATGCTTACTAAATGATTGCTCCGCAAACGCTACTGAGGAACACATGTTGTGAGTAGGGTGTTTGGTTGCCATGGAATTTGGAGACGCCAGGATAAGAATGGAGAGATTAAAATGAGAAACATAAATGAGTTGTTGAAGACAGAAGGGGGTCTAGCAGGATAGGGCAGAAGAACAAGCGGGAGATGGTAGATGGTGGAAGTAGTAGTGATTGGGAATGGAGAATTTAAATATATGGTTACTTGAAAAGGAGAGTAGCACCCTCCAAAACACTCAGAAAATCCTTTGGGATATTTGCTTCCTTCTTTTCAACTATTGCTATAATTCGCTTTTCCAGAACTGCTTATTTATTTGAGAGAGAGAGTAAGTGGGGGAGGGGCAGAAGCAAGGGATAGAGAGAGAATCCTCAAGCAGACTCCCCCCATCAAGGGCAGAGCCTGCCCGGGGCTCTATCCCAGGACCCTGAGATCATGACTTGAGCTGAAATCAAGAGTCGGCTGCTTAACCAACTGAACCACCCAGGCGCTCCCATTCATCTCTTTAAAGCCAAATTTTATGCATGTTGAATTATATATGCTAAAAGATAAACAGTGGGAGCATTTATAATAAGTTCAAAGAACAAATAAATGAAGTGATTTTTTTTTTGCACTTATATTCCTCATTGTTTTCCGGATGTTTTGTGATCATTCTCCACTCTGCATTGGGATGTGGTAAATGTTCTTAATTATGGTCGTCAGAATAATGAAAGAGTTTTCATATCACAGGTGTTGACAGCAAACAAATCTGTGGTTTCAGAAAGGGAAGTTTCAGTCTGAAGACAAATGAATGTTACAAAAGCAAAATAGATATTGCAAGGATCCTAATCTCAAATTTATAGGGAGAACAGCACATGTCATGCTGTGCAGCCCAGGTCTGGGACATTTAATAAAAGGAATGGCTTCCATTCCGATTCCAACAAGAACATTAAT